GATTTGTTATTTTGGAACCTGTTCCATTATACTTTTATATACTATATAACTATATATTTCACTTGTTTTATCTATAATATTATTCAATCTATCCAAATACAAGCAGTTTGGCATCATTTTGAGAGCCTGTGGCCTCTCTAAACCCTCTCTGTGTCTGTGAGCCATGGCTCAATTCTCGTCTGCCTGTGTGTATGTGAAGCCCTTGTGAGCCTATGCTTGGCCAATCCCAGACTACGACACCTCTTTAGACGCGCCAGAGTCCCATACATGGAGTGGTGGCAACATGACTTTGATTGACAGAAAAAAAACAGAAACGCGCCGTGCGTCGCCCTGCGTAAAAGCTGATTCGCCAAAAGTGAAATCTCTTTCCCCACGGTCCCCCAGGCTCGTCTGACCCCCCTTACTCCAGGGAACACAGGAAGGACAGAGCAACAGTGTTTTAGCTGGCAAAAACGGAATATCAAACCTGTTGCTTCATGATTCATCTCAAGGAACGAAGCATTTATGGTTTATTCTGCGGTGGAGTAGCTCGGTTTTGTGGTGCATGTTGGCTGTAGGATTGTAATGGTTTCACGGAGAGACATTCTGAAGATATCTATGGATTCTGTGTCGAATGCTCATGCGTTTTGATATCTCGGTTAGCCGTGTTAGCGGTTAGCATTTCCTTTGTTCAGCTTTGTAGGAGTGCATGGCTCGCAGAGTGATGCCGAAAAATATTGTGGTATATCTTCTAGATATGATATTAGTTTGTGTATACTTGTGTTTGCAGTGTGTAAAATGGCTGGTATGATGATTTTGCCCAGACTTTTTTCGTTAATTCGGTATATAATATGTGCGGAGCATTCATTATATTTGTTTATAAAAGTGCATTCTACGACATGCTACCACGCTATGCGGTCTCGCTCGAACCCCAAATGGGGCTCGTTCGTCACCAGAAGGATGTTAACTGTTCATCAGAGTGATGGCCTTTTGGATGAAATCGTTCTTGTGTCTGGATGTTTTGGTCGACAGTGTTCCCGGAGAAAAGATCCTGAGAATGTTGTGTCCAGGGGCTGAAGGGTCTGCAGTGATTTTTCCTGCCCCCTTTCTGACTCTGGACTTGTATAAGTCCTGGATGGAGGACAGGGTTACATCAATGATTGTTTCTGCTGTATTGACTGCCATGTTTGTTGGCTGATCCAATCCACACAGTGATGGATGAGCAGAGAGCAGACTGGATGGTGCAGAAATATGTCAGCAGCTCCTGAGGCATGTTGAACTTCCTGAGCTGGAGCAGGAAGTACATCCTCTGCTGGGTCTTTTTACTGATGGTGTCTATGTTGAAGGTCCATTTGAAGCTTAAGAGCATTAAAACTCCCGGCTGTTCTGACCACACCAGAGGGCCAACTGTTCAACCTTCCGTTTGTGTGCTGACTTGTCACCATCCCGGATCATGACAATGACCATTATGTCGTCTGCAAACTTGAGGAGTTTACCAGACAGGTCTCCTGAGGTGCAGACATTGGGGTAGAGGGAGAAGATCAGTGGGGAGAGCACACATCCCTGGGGGGTGCCAGCGCTGATGATCCGGTCTCTGGATATGTTTTTCCCAGGCGGCAACCTCCGTTACTGAAAAGTAAAGCCAATGGGGAAGTGTCTTAAACTTGTATTATTTAAAATGGCCAACAGTGGGCGACTCCTCTGGTTGTATAGAGGTCTAAGAGAAAATGACTCTACTTCTCTCTTGATTTATTACCTCAGTAAACATTGTAAACATGAGTTTATGGTCTCAATCTCTAGTTTCAAGTCTACTTCAATACAGCATGATGTTCATTTAGTAAATGATGGTCCATTTAGAGTCAAACAGACCATAAAGCAGGGTCCGCTTTAGGGCGGGGCTACCTTGTAATTGACAGGTTTCTACCCCTAACAGAGCTGTATACAGCGTATCTACGTCACACCTACTCAGTCCAATTATGATTTCCGTTCACTGGTTGCAAAAGTCAAGATGGGGATGGTCGTAATCCAAGATGGCGACAGCTAAAGAGCTGAACTCGAGGATTCATAACAGCAGTCCACAAACCAATGGGTAACGTAACAGCAACTACACAGCAACTACGTCAACTTCTTATACAGTCAAAGGAATTTCCCCAGCCTCACCTGCAGCCTCTTGTCTCTCAGAAAGTTTGTGATCCATTGACAGGTGGAGGCTAGGACAGTTAGCTGGGTGAGTTTGGATTTCTGGGATGAGAGTATTGAATGCCAAGCTGAAGTCCACAATCAGGGTTACTGGGTATGTCCCTGCAGAGTCAGGGTGTTGCAGTGCAGTCACACATTTACTGCATCATCCACTGACATGTTTGTCATTGTGTACCTGGCCTGCTTGTATGTCTGTCCCCACTACTGTAGGCCTCCTCCTTGGCCTGACAAAGCTGTCTGAGTTCTGCAGTAAACCAGGGCTTATTGCTGTGGTATGTGCAGAATGTTTTAGTCGGCACACGTCTTCACAAAACCTGATGTAAGATGTCACAGTGTAATGTCCCTATAGTCTACACTTCTACTTAGCATTGAATGTAAACCATAAGGTGTGTAATTGTCCAATCCTTCGTTGCTGCCAAACATCCTTCTCACCAAAGTAACTGCTGAGATTTTCCTTCAAACTGAGTCTAATAAACAGTACGATCGCTAAAACATGACAGTAAAACTGTTTTTTTTATATATCAAAAAGCTTTTCTTTAAGAAAATATCACTGATGCTACAACTGATCCTCTGTGACGGTTGTGGTTTGGCTGTGGTCCTCCACCCCCACCTCTCCCTCCTGCAGACAGATTTAACAGTTTACTTCAGACATTTGACTCTTCTCTTGTTCTAATGCAGGAAGCTCCTGACAGATTAAAGTACATACTGTCAAAATAGCTGAGGCGTGTGAGTGTGTGTGTTCACCTGTGTTTGTGCATGTGTTCATGCGTGTTAGTGTGTGTTATCAGATAGGCTCAATCTTGGAGGCAAAGGACTCTCAGCGTTCCTGCTCAACAGGGATTTAAGGTATAAAGCTGGTTGACAGGAAAAACAGCTTCCTTTAGAGGTCTTCACTAAACCCTTGTGAAACACACACAAACACACACACACATGCTGCTCCCACACTTGCTGTTGAGTTGACTGGCATCTTGGCAGACAGACCTGCCCACCCATAGGTGCTCTTCTTTCTCTCATCCTTCAGCACAGAGTGACAGCTTCCTTTCTGTGCACACTAGCATCCTAACTGAAATGCCTTGCTTATCTTCCCGTGATAGCCCCACACACATGCACACCCAAACACACCATGTCACATCACATCTGCTGTCAGCTCTCCTCTCTCCTGCCCTATAAAAGAGAAGTTATCACCAGCTAAACCAGGGAGGGGCAACATCCACCACTCAGACAGAAAAATACATTGAGCATTAATGCCAGCTTTGCAAGAACCTCAGTTATTCTAGTGGCTGCCAGTCTTTTTGTTTGTGGAGCCAAACTGTTGGCTCCTTTTGTGTGTCTGTCATACATAGTGTTCTCTTGTCAATCAGTATGATTGCTGCTGCAATATAATGCATGTTGAAGTATAGGGATATTCAGTGTTCACCAAGTTGTCACCAAATCTTGAGCAGCGCCAAACCAAAATAGAATGTAACTACTAGGAAGTATTTTGTGAATCAGCCTGATTCATTTGCTTCCTCTGTGCCATATAGCGCCATTGTTATCCAAAAGGTAATAAAACACATCATCATTGTATTGTTTCCATGAACACAGACACTGCTGTTTATTTGGAGTCAATCCCCCATACAAGGTACTGCTGCCACATATACTCACTAGAGCAAAACAACAGTCTGCCTCCAAGAAAATACGTTTGTTTACGACTCATTTGTTTTGTCAGATAAGTTTTTGAAACATAAATGTTGCCTGCATTATGTTAACTGGCAACATTTTTTACCATCCAGTAAAAGCTAAGTTCATGTAAAGAACTTTATATTTGTGACCTGTTTTCAAAGATTTATGTCTTCAGTTACAACCAATTTGTCTGTTGATATTAGGGATAATTCAATCATTTTAGTATCATATATTATTATTGTGTACCTGTGTATTTTGTCATACATATTTGAAACACAAATTTGAAAACAGAAGTTCCCATGAAAGTTAGGTTCCATGTCTCATTTTTCAGCAGAGACATTTTTGGTGTCAGTTGTCATTTTTCACTCAGTGTAAACAACATATAGCTTCAATGAAGACCTAGAACAATATTCAAGCACACACACACTGCCGCTAACTCAGAAGTTTGGGGTTACCTGTAATTTTTATGTTTTTCTTTCTTTCCTTCAATAATAACTATTTTGAGAGAGACAACTATGTTTTAATTTAGACTCCAAATGTATTATTTACATTTGAAATAGTTTTGGCCCCAAAGGAAAAAGAATGAAATGATTAAATCTTACATTTAGTCGATGTCCCCACAGTGTTGCATGCCGGGAGAGAATACTGTTGTAACCAATTTTCCCCCAAATACCCTGCTATTTTCCAGTTAAACCAGGGGCTGAATAGGTTTAAACTGTGATTTGTCAGTATGTTTAGCTGATATTCGTTGATCCAATTCCAATAGTGCTAACCCTACACAGACTTTATTGTGAAGTTTGAAGAATAGTGTTGCTTAACCCTTCTGTTAATATTCCAGCTAGTTGGCTGCATTATTGTGCACTTGACATTGAAGAGGACCTTATTCCGATTTAAATTTCCACACGTCTTTTACCAATAACTGGTGATTTTTTCCATTCTTATTCAACTTATTAACAATGTACAGTGTTTTGTTCACCAAGCACAAAAAATCTACAATTTAAATGCCTGAAAGACAATTAAAAGAATTATAAGTAGTCCTCTAGCCATCTGACTGTAATGAATCCAGCTTTTGTCACTGGTGACCCCAAACTTTTTAGTGGTAGTATATAAAGATATATATATAGACATTAACTCTGTCTCCTGTCTCCGATCTCCTCCAGCTGCTGTTGATTACCTGGCAAAGAACGTCAGCCTGTCCAGTCAGCGCAGGATGAAGCTGGCCGACCACTCAGCTGTACTGGGACTGCTGCAGGTCGAGACTGGCCAGGCCTACTAGTACTCATCAGACATGCATGCAACATGACACCTGGTCACCAGCACAACCCGCACCTCCTGTTACCATCCATACAAATCTCCCAGAGACCGTGTGTGTGTGTGCATTGGGCTGATAATAAGCTTTTTTATACTATATTTCATGTAAGTGTTTCTCCAGTGGTTAAGGATTGAATGATACAGCTGTCCAAGCTTTAAACATTCCCCATGGGACCAACCAAATCCACGACAAGGATTTCCACTGTTACAAAAATTATTTTTTATTTGTTGTTTTTATTGCACTACATTTTGTACACAGCATTGGTGGATTCTAACTCAACTGGATAACTATAAACTAGTGATATAAACAATTACTTTGTGAACCCTGAGCAAAGTATTTTGGACTGGGTGTAATCTATTACTTGCTATTTAAAATATATTTGACTAAAACAGCTTTTATGTGAGTCAGCAAAACACTAAATTATGTATTATGTCATCCTATAATGATGTTTTTTTTGTCTCAATTCATGGCACCCAGTGTGAATTCCTGTCAGTTTGCACCTATTGTGTCGTTGAATTGACATTAAATACAATTGTTCACATCCAAAACTTATTTCGAAATTCAGTCTGAACACACCTTAACGGAACACAGTCCGGTTTCACCTTCATTATCACTAACATTCACATCAAGCGTGTACTCCACACTGCATCACAGATGAGTAGTGAAAATTTAAACAAAAACAAGATTGTGAGCTGCTGTCTTGAAAAACTGCAACCCAAATAGGCTGTTTGGTACGGCCGGGTATCGTTTACAAAATTATAATGACAGTACCAATACCCTTAAAGTAGTACCAATAACAGTACATTACTTCATTTGATACCCATCATGTTAATGGCCGCCATCATCAGATCTACTGTGGTGGGACTGCAAGTTTAAATTGTTAGCTCTCTCAACACTGTTGCAGTTGTTAGTTCTGTTCACTCTGTTAGCACCGTTATCTGCTAGCCACTGGATCAGACATCTCCCAGTTTAAGAACTTGGATGTACAGTATAAAGAGAACTGGATACAGCTTTGGGGGCGGCATCCCTTTCATTCCCTTAAAAGTTGCTCAGTGGCGCATGAAGCAAAAATAGTTAAACTTCAATGTCAAGAATTCCGATAGAAATCTTCCGCATTATGTGGCCCAAAGATCATGCGCACTAGCGTTTTCTTTAACTGGGCCTTCCAGCCCTTGGTCCAGCCTTGTTTTCGGGCTCATTCACATGAATAGAGGAAGGAAAATAACTCTAAAATGCCAGGGCAACCCTAAAGACTTCATATTTGTTACGTGAAACTGGTCATCTTTATAGATATTGAATATCAGCACAAAATATTGGCAGCTTAAAAAGAAAAAATATGTCAGCTTTCAGGCAACCAATGTGTGGAAGGATGTGATGGAGATAACACCTCTGTAGCAGACTGATATGGACTAATTCAGCCATTCCTGAAGAGATTCAGTCCCTCTTATCAACAACAAGACCTCCTGAAGAGCTTTGGCAATAGTTGGAGGTCAAACAAGCTCCTGACATTTCTCCCGGCAGCTTGGTACAAATATTTACTGTTTTGTTCTTCATTTCATTTTGTTTGATGTCTGTTGCATTTACCTAAGGACACAACGACTGGGTTGTACTATAACTCGCCAACTGTCCTTAATGACTCTTTATGTAAGAAATTCATTTTGAGTTTTCCAACAAGAAAAGTGCACTCATTGGTGTGCAGATCTCCACCAGATATGTCTGCCATGACCACTGCTGTAATAATGGATTGAATACAAACCAAATGCCCCCCCTCTAGACCGCAAGCGTATCAGAAGCGTTTTTCACTCACACATCTCACGCAGCAGATACACTCTCATTTTAATCTATGCAGCTGTCTGCACCAGTTCCGTGCAGCTAAACTGCAGTTCACGGTGTAATATTTTCTGTTGACTGTTTTTAGCTTCCTCTGAACAGAAACTGTCAGTTCTGCTGTGTGTTTAGTTCCGTTAGCTGTTAGCTCTGTAAGCTGTATTGGTCCTGTTGTTAGCTTTTTCTCATTGGCCAACTCAGCAACCGGCAGATGCTGCTATGTAAGTTTCTCCCTTTCACCAAACTAAGACTAGCTTAATTGCATTGTCAACTCATCTGAAAACAAAATAAAAGCGTTTTGATAAGTCTTTCCACTGTACCAACAATTACCAACTGCTTTGGTCAAAATAAACCCTTAATTCACAGTTCGATGTGAAATTATGCTAGCTCTACACACTGTTTATTCTCACCGTCTCTCCCACTCCCCGCTAAGCAGCTCTCGTTCTTTGGAGGCATACCATTTAATTAGCTAAATAAATTGTCAAAGTTTGCAATACTGCCCAGCGGCTGCTAACAGCTAACTAGTGCTTCTCCCACCATATACATGCACGTTCAGTTCAGTTTGTCATTTGCTAAGCGATAGATACATATATACATACATACACATTTGTCTTACCTAATCGTGTAAATCATGGGTCCAGCAGTATGCGAGAATAGCCATGGACAGACAGACACAGGCAGAGATCCACACAAGAATATACAACCGAATACATGATCTCCTGGCGGGATAATAATAATTACAATTGGACTAGTATATTTTAATTTCATAAGTACCTTTTATTCTTGCTGAATGTGGTCCTTGAGGAAATGTGATGGTGTGCAGATTATACATACAAACAAGGTTATTGACAGCCATTGTACAGCAGGGTTGTGCAATGAAATGTTTCTCTTATCAAACCTAATGTTCATATTGAGCCTACCTGAAAATTGTTTACCATTCATGTTTTCATGTCATCTGCTCATGACAACTAAAGTATGGTTTACAATGGATACAGATTGCACCTAGATAGTGCCTGTCTCTGAAATCCAGAGGTTTTCTAAGGGAACTAGGGGGGAAACAGGAATTTAATAAAATCAGTAAAATGTATCAGTAAATGAAGATACCATATTGAGTGTCAGTAAATAAAGATATAGTTCTCAAATAATAGACTTAACCTCGACTACAGAGTGAACCAGGCTTACATTGGAGACACATTTTTTTTTGTTATTCCCCTATGAGTATATTTCATCATATTTTAGTAAAAGAAGCCCCCGTTTTCTGATCTGCTCTTGTCTTAATTTGCAATTGAAGCAAACTCAACACTTTATCCACTTGTCTTGATAAACTCTCTCTTTCATTGTTCTTTTGATCACTGATAAGCATGAGTGTAGAGTTCTAACTGACACAAGCTCCGCCTTCTACTGGAGTCTATGGGTAATACGAGCAACCACGAGCACGCGTTCGGCCACTGAAAACTAGCATAACCGTCCAATCAGGACATGCCAATCCGAATACTTACCACAATATATAAGGCAGCACACTCAACATCTAGGGGGCGGGTGTGGCCTAGAGGGTCTTCCGGCTCCTCCAGCCTGAATATTGAAGTGTCCTTGGGCAAGGTTGGCTGCAGTCGGTCAGGATCAGTGTGGTTGGGTCGATGGTATGTCACTGCATGCATTGGGTTCCACCCACTGTACCCATAGATTCCATTCGAGGGCGGATCCAGTGTGAGTTAGAACAAAGGTTACAAGGTTGTTACCCTAGATCTAAAAGCACAGGCGGAGCCCTATGCCAAGGGGGCCCAGCTGCTCCTACGCAGCACGCTGAAGAAGGTGTAAGATGTCAAGCAGCGATTTGTGCTGCCTTATAAACTGGAGGGTTTGCACGTATTTGAGTAGGCACGTCCTGATTGGCCGGCTACACTAATGCAAATTATCAGTGGGTGAAGACATGCTCCTGGTTGGGGCATATGGAGACCCATAGAGTCAAGTTGTGGGCTCCGCCTGTGCTTAAAGAACTAGGGTTACAATTTCGTAACGTTGTTTTGTTCACTTCCTGCAGAAATCTTTCAAATTAAAACCTCCCAGCAAACCTTCCAGCGAAATCCTTACCTCTTAATGTGACGATAATCATAACAATAATTATAATAAAAATAACTAAAGGAAGACTTGTGTTTTATTTACTGTAGCTTTGTTAGGCTACAGTAAATAAAACACAACTCTTCCTTTGATGAAAAAAGCTGCAGTAGAGGAAAACTATGAGTTATAACACTATAGTATCTTAACAGTAGAAACAGTGTTTTTATTTTAATACCAGCTTTAAATTCTGATATGTAGAATTTGTGTCAAATAATCGATCCAATCAACTTACCACTCAGAATATATTTAGAGATAAATTTGCCTTTTGAAATGTCATAAAGAATTCACAGATTTATAGCCTGATACAAACTACACCTGCATAAAGGATTATTTTAAGGATGAAGTGCAGTCATAGAAAGAGGTTTGAGAATCATTTCCCCATTGCATCATTCCATAAAAAAAACAAAATGTGCATTTACACTATTTATTTAGTTCTCTTTCTTTCTTTTTTGTTCTGTATTTGACTGTGTTAACCTTCTACCTTGTATATATATTTTTTCACTCACAGAAAACCAAGGAGGAAATTAAGGATTAAATGTAAAGATGTGCTCATTCACCCCAACCCCTCCTGTTTTCCTCTTGGTCCATTCTCTGCTTGTTTTGTTCTGCTTTCTGTTTGGCATGTGTGTATGTTACCATAGTATAATTTATTCTACCTGTATGAAGTATTAGACTAGTGACAAATTTGTATTGGCATTTACTCCCCTCAGCCTCTTGGTGTGTTAACTGTAACACTGGCGTAACTGTCTGTTCATTAAAGCTCTACAACTGGACCAAGACAGTGTTGTGCTGGCTGCCTGCTCTTCATTTATAGACACTGAACTTGTTGTTTTTGTTTGCAGGAAGAAAAATGGAAGAGGAAAAAATATTCAGTTCAGCATGTTTGAAATGTTCCCTTAAAAGTGTACCTTATTCAAGACAAGAGTTTTGGAGGGAGGGACAGATGCCTGACTGACATCATCATTAGGCTCTTCCTCCAACAGGAAAAAATTATGAGGCTAGAGAATTTACCAGTAACCGGAAATTTGTATTCAGTATTGTTGTGCTAGTTGTTCAAGTGCATAATAATGTAAATTGGTTTGTAATTATTTATGTAAATTAATGTCAAGATGCAGAGTGTAAAATCCGTTTGTTACGTATGTAAGTGAAGTGCGTAAGTTAAGTAGGTTATGTATGTGATGCAAGTTAAAATAAGTACTAAATAAGTTTGTTACAAAACTTAAGTAAGATACGTGAGTTAAGTATGTTACATTACATTATGTTAGTTTATCACGTTAACACATGACACAAACAGCTCCTGGGTGAAAGGCCTGTGTTTATGTGACCTATCCATCCAACCCAATCTCCTTTCTATGTGGACTGTGTTGCTCTTTATACTACATGACCTGACTTCCTTATCCTCGTCATAATTATTATTGCCACTAAAAGCAGACCTGCAACTCCAAAACTAACAGAAGGAGTTGACCAAGATTGATTTTAAAAATCTTTTACACTTTTTAAACAGTTGTGGACTTTCTGCTTTTATCAGTGGTCCAACTCCAACACTCGGCTGTGGATCACAGCGGTTCAGCAGAGGCCTCAGCCTCCACACTTGGCTCCAGTCCGCCTGCAGGGCCAACAACGTGAGCTTCATTGACAATTTTAATCTGTTTTGGGACTGCTCTTCCTCTTCTAAGAACGATGGTATTCATCTTAACAAGCTGGGTATCCGCCTGCTAGCGGCTAATTTACAGCACGCTGTACAATCTTGTCTGCGTGACTGACTATTTACTTTACACACACACACGCCCCTTCCTCTTCTTCTACGCTGCCACCTCAGAGCACAGTTTCCCAACCTCTGCTACATCCATATCGGTTCCCAGCACAAGTTCATCATCTACAACCCAACTTCTGTCAAATCTATCCCGTCTCTGTGGACTCAGCACCGGCGTACAACCACTCGCTCATTACGTTATCATACCAAACAGCACGTGAATCCAGCCAACCTCAGAACCTAAATCCTCACAACCAATCACAAAACACTCCATGAAACTTGCTCTGTTCAATATCCGGTCACTAAGCAACAAAAGCCCAATCAATGAATTAATCACTGACAGCAACCTTGATATCCTCTGTCTCACTGAAACTTGGCAAAACCATCGTAAGTAACATCGTAAGTCCATCCTCATTTGAACAGCTGACATTCAAACTCTCTGATCCTAAACCCCTGGTCATTTCAATTATCTACCACCCACCCCCAAACCCAACCCTGCCTTGCTCTCCAACCTATCTGAATTCCTTACCCAGCTCTGCTCCATCTCACCTGCCATGAAAAACGGTGTTTTTGAGGGGCTAAACATGCTCCAACCAGAACCAAACATGGCAAACACATTTAAAATTGTACATGTAGTTATCTGATGCTTCAAAGTGGCAAGTCAGCTCAATAGCGCTCCCTACAAAATTTCGCAGATGCAGCGATCGCAGTACGTTTGACCTAGATGTATGACAATTACTAGGCACATGTATCACATGGAGACTTGAAGAAAAGTCTCTTGGGACTATATTCTAAAATCAACCGGATGTCGACCATTTTAATTTCTGTGTGAATTTTTCCTTGATAACTAGTCGCTATACTTTAACAAACTCCTCCTAGAGACTTTGTCAAATCCACTTCAAATTCGGTCATTACAATCTAAAGACCTTTGCAATTAAAAGTCACTCAAAGCTTTACGTTTGATGGAATGGCATAGATGTGGCGTGGCGGCCATTTTATGTGATATGCCGTTAAACAACAAGCTGATGTCACTCCACTGTACTTGTTCAAATCTGTCCCAAACTTGCCATACTTGATAACAGTCATGGCCTGACGATGTCTACAAGCAAATTTTCACTCAGTCATAGCGCCACCTACTGCCAACGTGAAGACAGCATTGTGTGACAAACCGCATCCGATTTACATGATATTTACATGATGTGGTCTGCACTTGATGTAGAGCAACATAATGCATGTTTACGTGTGTTATCTAGTGGATACAGGAACTGGTGGAATATTTGCACAACATATTTTCCAGCGTCACACAGTCCAAGCGGAAAAATACAATGAGCTCCGGGACGTGTTGTCCGATGGTCGAAGACATTAGCGCCCGCGTCTGCCGGCGTCCCGCCAGTACCCGTGAGCAACGGGAAGGAGCGAGGGCCCGTCCATCACTGCTTGCAGCTTTAATTATTAGGGCCCGAGCACCGACGTAGTCGGAGCGGAGGACCTATTGTTTTTCGAATGTTTATTAGGGCCCGAGCACCGACGTAGTCGGAGCGGAGGACCTATTGTTTTTCGAATGTTTTTTATTATTATTAGGGCCCGAGCACCGACGTAGTCGGAGCGGAGGACCTATTGTTTTTGGAATGTTCATTGGGGCCCGAGCACCGACGTAGTCTAATGAAGGAGCTAAATACACAACTCCCAGACCCTTCGCTGTCCAGGTACTCACACACACGCACACGCACACACACACGCACACGCACACGCACACACACACACACACACAGGAGCAGCACAACATTTAAGGTGATTATTATTGGTTTGAACAAATGTTACCTCTCTTGAGAGCAGAAAGTGCCATGAGGAATGCAGACATGTCAGTAACGCCCAGGAGTATTTTGCACTGAGTACCGCTATGTCAAACACCCAACTCTGTCACAATGAAAGCACTTACTAAGCCTAACATCTCCCTCAATCCCATAATTATTCCAGGATACATTATGTACCTGGACCCCAGCTGTCTGATCAGCACAGTGAGGGGATTGCACCTTCTACAATCAGTTTACAGGAGACAGATTGATATGATTGGTGAATAATATCAGCTTGTAAGTAGTGTGCTTAAGCTGTGTGAAACAGACAGAAGAATAAATGAGAAATAAATTGATAGATTCCTCCCTCCCCAACTGTTTTTTTCGGCCGCTGTAGTTCATAGTTCATAACGTTCTATCTTTTATTAACCTGACAGATTTAATTTCCCCTGACAACAAAGATAAGTGAGATGTAGTATCTTTTTTTGTAACCACTTCCTTCTCTTTCATTTACATTTAGTGAGGGTTTTCCTTAAGTCTGGTGACTTTTATGTCTTATCACAGTAGTCCCCTGAGCGTACGATTACTGAGCTCTGTAGCAACCTCTGTTGTTCGGCGACCCGCTCTCACACCCTGCCCCCTCCCTCTCAGCACTCTACTCATTCTAATCTCCTCACTCCAGTAGCACTTTGAAATTAAGCTGTGAGGAAGCAGGGTGTATTTCTAACCTCTTTGCTGTGACACCAGGCCCTCAATCAGCCTCATTGTAAAAAAAAGAAAGACCTCAGCACGTCTGAGTCAACGTGTCTGAGCTGACAGCCGCTCTGAAAACCTTGGCTTTAAAAAGCAACATGACTCACTGATGAATAACTGGTTCCACAAAGCAAAAACATACAGCTAAATCGCTGATAAATATTGACTGTTCTGATTGCCACAATTGGTGCTACCATTTCGGACCACTTAATGGCTATTATCTGGTAATGGTTGACAATGCCCTGATGGAGAGGAAGAGACAGGCCCGGTTGCAAGGATGCAAGGATGCAAATACATTAAGTTTAATATTTTGCACCCTCAGTTATAATTTAAATTAAAGCTGCGAGCAGCGATGAACGGGCCCTCGCAACTTCACGCATGTCGAGGGTACTGGCAGGACTCTGGCCATGTATTTCTGTGACCGTCATACACTGCGTGCACGAGTTAAATGGTATTTCCTGGTACTGGCAGGACTCTGGGTGACGCGGCCATGAATTTCTGTGACCATCACATTGCGTGCACGAGTGAGATATTTCCTGCGTAGACCAGCAGCGTAGCAAGATCATGTTGCCAGGTCTTAAGCCTCAAATCTTTTGAGTGTACATCCGATACAATCATAAATGTAAGCATTTAAAGATCATTAAGAAAATGAATGTGTGTGAATGTGCTTCAGTGTTTGTAACATAACAGACTGTCAGTTTACTGGGATGGGGTTCAACTCCCTCCAGTGTCCTGCTGATTGTGGATGACTTTGTGGAGTGGGCCGGTAGAAATCACCTGAGTCTGAACGTGGCCAAGACCAGAGAGATGGTAGTCGACTTCAGGAGGAAGACAACGGCTCCACAACCGGTGAAAGTTCTGGCAGAGGATGTGGACATGGTGGAGGAGTACAAGTACCTGGGTGTCTCCATCGACAGCAGACTGAACTGGAAGACCAACATCAACATCATTGTGTACAAGAAGGGGATGAGTCGACTCTTTATCTTGAGGAAACTTCGATCCTTCAACGTGTGCAGCAAGATGTTGGAGATGTTCTACCAGTCTGTTGTGGCCAGTGCACTGTATTTTGCAGTAGTCTGCTGGGGAAGCAGCATTGGAGCCGGAGACACCAACAGACTTAACAAACTTGTTAAGAAGGCCGGCTCCATCATTGGCTGCAAACAAGACTATCTGGAAGAGGTGGTGGAGAGGAGGGCACTGAAGAAACTATTATCCATATTGGATAACCCGGACCACTCTCTCCACCACCTACTGCAGGGACAGTGGAGCACTTTCTCCAATAGACTGATTCAGCTCCGCTGTCACAAGGACCGATACAGGAGAACATTCTTGCCCACTGCAATATCACTGTATAATAAATCACCTCTGGCCAAATCAAACATGGTGATTAGACTATAACTAGACTATAACACTGCTACACTGTTGTTGCTGCTGTTGGTGATCTTGTGCACTACTGTTTAGTTTATTTTTTCCTACTTAGTTAATTTAATACGATTCTATTTAGTGTATATACTGTGCATTTTTATTACTATATTTTCTTAAATTTAATAGGTCCTGCTCTGTTATTTGATTATATTGTATATAGTGTGCATTTTCCATACTTAATATTTATATTTTATTGTGTAACCCTGTTTGCTGCTGCCACAGACACATTTCCCCATGGGGATGAATAAAGTATAATTCTATTCTATTCTATTCTATTCTAGCTGAACACCAGACAGGTTTGGCTAGCTGGATGACGTCATGCTAATAACTTATTGAAACAGGATTGAGCAAAATAATTTAACGCTCTGAAATGGAGAAGTCCTTTTTGTTTTGTTTGTTTTTGTTTTTTGTTTTATTTTAGTTTAGGTTTGTAAGGGGACAGGTTATAGGATTCACACTCCAATATAGTAGGTGGCGGTAATGCACCATTCACTGGATGCCATCCGCCATAAAATCAAAAAGAAGAAGAACGCCACGGTCATTGACGTCATTGACACGCCCACTTGGCTGAAGGATAAGTTGCTGTGTGTTTTTTCGCAGGATCACTTTCTACTAGAAGGTTCTCTTTTCTGTTATCAGAAGACCACTGGATCACATCTTCAAGACCCGACAGGACTCTACGAAGTTTGATCTCCAAACGACTTGTTTTCTCTGCCAAGGTGAGTTTTCTGTGATTATTAACGTCTGTAGCATAGCGTTTTTTTGTCAGCTGCTGGTTAAACGTGTTGATCGTTAGGTGTCAAGCTAACACATAAAGTAGAGCAATATTGTATACTGCTTATGTATCGCAAAAGCCAAAATAGCAGTTGTTTTCTGATACAATTTCAAATGTTCGCGCGGTCACAAACCCACTTCCGCATTGTTGCGCAACAACCGTCTTTGTCCACACACCGTTTCAGTTTCTGTTGCTCTGAAAGTGCTGATAGTGTTCACAAACTTCACAAGCACAGATTCGTTGTCGTCCGTTTTGTAGCGGATTGCAATTCATGGCAGATTCCTTCAACAAACCTGGCTATTTGTGCGCGAGTCGGCAGCTGGTTAAATGTGTTGATGTTTAGGAGTGTGTCTCCTCACTGCTCTGACTGCAGCTGTGCCAGGCTTCTGTGAGAGTACCCGCCTGTGTGTGCTTTGGGTTTGCGGGGGAGGGGGGGCTCACACCAGCTGCTCGTTCACGAGAGTGCAGAACACGTGCTTTAACGTCAGAAAAGTCTCTAATAACTCCGGAAAAAGTCGCTAGATTTGTTGCCAGTAGCTTTTGACAAAAAAGTCTCCATGAGGCTTTGGAAAGTCGACAGATTTAGTGAGAAAGTCGCCATGTTGGCATCACTGCACGGCTAAATATGTCCCCAGGGCAACATTGGCCGTAACAATGGTTCCTATCACATATAAAACTAAACAAAAATCCATCTTCATAAAAGTTGTACTAATAATAATATATAAACAAGCATATTAAAGCTACAAAGATGTAAAAACAAAAGCAGTTCACTTACCAGAGCTGCTGTTCACTGTTTAGCTGCTGTTCCTCCTTTTTCTTTGTCAATAAAGAGTTTAATCTCACTGTTGTTCAGTATATCCGTGTGTTTTAGTTCCAGTAAGAAGTCCTTCTCCATTCACGGAGGCCAGTGAAGACAGCCGAGCTTCCCCAGTTGTATTCTTGAATAGGTTTTAATGTGTTTGAGGGCTGAAAATGTCCGCTGAAAATATTAAATTATGAAATAGCTATAACTTTGTGATTCTGTTTAGGCCAGCAGGCCCTGACGGCCCACCACTGCTCAACAACAGTCTTTGCTCATAGTCTTTTTTTAAGTTTCTGTTGCTCTGAAATGCGCGGGTAGTGTTCACAAGCTTATTTAGAGCACAGATTCATTGTCATCCGTTTTGTAGTGGATTGCAATTCATGGTAGATGGAATTATGAGATACTGGCTTATGATAAGAAGCTGAACTTGCTGTCCTTATATCATAGTTGTAGCAAGTGTAATTGATGGTCTATCACGGTCGCAGAATATTAACCAGGCATGCATGGTATATGATGTAAAATATATGATGTATATAATATATATATGGCTCGAGTGTGCAGTGCCAGGTTCCCATACATGCCACAAGGGCGTGCTGTAGAAGTACAGATCAGAAGTGACAACATTTGTGTTTATAGTTCTATAGTGCCCTCTTGTGGCAGGTATAACATACTGCAGACTCTTACATGTGAGTAAGAGCATAGTTATGATACCGTTTGTTATTGTAATGACTTGCACGGTCGTTGATATTATAATCATGGATGTATTAGAAATTATCTTTCCTAACATGTAGCATTTTGTAACTCTGAACAGCAACATCTTGTGATGTCATGACTAATCAATGAACTAATATACTTTCAGATGCCTCGTGGACGATCTTACCGCCGATCTCAGGCAGCCAAGAGGATTGCAGAGATGCGCCGTCCCTTGGAAATTAACCCTCAAAGACCCTCTGTTTCTTCTGGTATGTTGGCAACTGCTTTCCTTAATTGCTGTTCTATGTGTAAGCTGTATTTTCTTTTTACATGTCTGGAATGTGCACTGTTGTGTTTAAATGGATTATGTAGTATTATGTTTCATAGTGTTTATTTTGTTTTCCTTGTCTATTCAATAGTTGATGGAACGGGATTTCGTAATCCAGCGACGAAGTGGCCAACTTCCACCGTGACCGGGAAGCAGCACAAGATGGTCTTTCTAGATAACTCTCCAGACAATAAGGTATATTTGCGTTGACAAATTATCAAGAAAGTTGTTGATTTCCGTAAGATTATTTGTTTGTCATTCTAAAAATGCCATTTTGTGTTTAGTTTTTCCTTCTTGTAGGCGACTCGCATCTGCGAGGCATTGCAGATGGTTTTGTGGAGATGCCAGCAGTATTTTCTTATGGTGTGATGTCTACGCCGGGGGCCGCTGCAAAGGACTTGCGGACTGAGGTGCTGAATGCTGCGTTGGATCGTACTCCTGATGTTGTCTGTGTTTTGGCCCCATCCAACAACCTCACTTCCCGTAGAACCGTCATCAAGGCTGGTGACGAGTTCGCCCTGCTCCTTGGTAGTGTTTGCGAGAAATGGGATGAGGTAAGATATCTTTTCTACTAGAAATGATGTTGGTGTAGAAGTTGAGAGGTTGGGTATAGCGTTTGGATAAAATAACTTATGAACGTCTATTGTTTATTTTTAGGTGGTGGTGGTGGATTTTCCTCCAGGGCTTAACGTACCGGTGGATGTGCAGGAGCACCTGTGAAATCAGTACCGTCGTAAGGCTGCATCTGCAGGTGTGTTTCATGAAATGTCACTTATGAAAAGTTACATGTTTACCAGTTAATATATGCCATGCCATTTTGATTTTCCATAATTTATTTTGTTTATTTGATTCGCATAAATCATGATTCATATATACACATTAACAAAATGAACTTCCATTACAATCATATTGTGTTAGTAAATGGAATCAATGTAAAGGCTTGTCTTCCTAAAAGTCATAATGGTAGAAATATCAGAAAAGAGATCACATCTGTGCACTGCATAATTGTTTTGTCTACATCTTGTTTTCTGTCAAAAAAGACTGTTGAAAATCATTTAGGCCTTTTTAGTAAATCTGGCTTTTTCTTCTCATGTTAAGGTGTCCGGTACTGGTCTGTTGCTGAGCAGTTTCCTATGAACGACCTTCAGCTTTGGTACAAAGACAGCGTAAGTAAATTAGGTTGATGACATGTGCAGAAGTGTGATTTATTGTTGTTTATAGATTATAGCAATCAATTCATGGCAGATTTATATTGATTCGTAGGTTATGTGTTAAGTCATATCTCTATTATTGCTTTGTAGGTGCATTTGAGTGACTCTGACGGGATGCCGATCTTGGCAAAGGCGTTCTTTTCTGCTGCACATGACCACCTGCTGAGCAAGGTGCTGGATCCTGTTTCTACCAAGAAGCCAGATGTTTCTCCAAAGACATCGCCTCCTGCTCGCAGGATCTCGCCGAAGGTGGTCGTGAAGGGAGAGGTCCGCCGCATGCCACGCCGACCAGGCCCTTCTGAGTGGACATTTGTTGGATGTGGCAAGAAGGTAAATGATTGCAGACTGTAATTTTGTAGCTGATTGTGCAGACACGTGTATAGCGTTAACATGGTAACATGTAATGGTCAAAGGAGACACGTGTTTAATGTAAGGAATGCTATTGTCATTACAGAGACATCATTTGGGGAAACCAGAGCAGTCTTGCGGTGCACCCAAGAGGAGGCTTGTTCATCAGCAGGTTTGTCAGGTTTCATTTATGTGCTGAAAAACACGGAAATATTTATGATCATAATTGTATGGATAGCACTTGTGTAGCAAGGTGTCCATAACATTTTTTTCTGCTGTATATTTCAGGTTGTCAAAGAATGTTCTGTACGTCTCTGGAGGTTCAGCAGTGCCATCTTGGATGCCATGGATGCTGTTCCATCGCATCTTCCAAGCCCAGCAGCGTGCCCAGCAGTTGTTTCACAATGCAGAAAGGTAACTTGCAACTACATGTCCTCTGTCTGTCTATAGAATTTTAGAAGTCAGAAATTATTATATTTCCATATGAAAATGTTGCAAGTTGTGCTTACAAATGTTTGTTGTTTATCTCAATTTAGGAACGACGCATGGGACGACCCCAGAAGGCAGTTTTAGACAAGACCGTGACAGAGCAGCAGGTGTGTTTTTGTGTATACCATATCTGTCTGTTGTGAAATTGAATTTTATGCAGTGTATGCAAGTAAAGACATATCTGTATTTGTACATTGCACTGTGGAAATAAATGTGCTGAAAGTTAACTGTGGCATTCTCTTTTAGGTGGACACACCTAGTGTTGCAAACATCCCTGTGGAGCCATCAGAGACGGTGGCTGTGAATGCAGAGGTGGGTGTTCTTCATACTTATATTGAAATGATCTAACGGAACATGTTGTTAATGAAAATGCAGTTAAATTACACTGAAATCAGTTTTTAAGCAACTACATGTTTTTAAATGTTCTTTGTCCCTTTATGTTCCATAAGGTGCCAATCCCCCAGGCTGTGCAACTCTCCTCAATGCCAACATCACCTTCCAGGGCTTTGCAAGTGGATATGAGAGAGAGTGACCACCTTAAGGGCTGCACACAAAGAAACATCAAAGGTCAGACTGGTTCTAATCCTAATGAGTGCATCTGTGCAAACAAACGGCAAACGGCTGTTGTGGCTGGGACTGTTTTCAGCAAAGCAGATGGACAGTCTAATGTGAACATAGGTCTTGCACGTAGTGTTGTTGCTGCAATCAAACATGTGATTACTCCTGTATGCACATGGAAGGGGTCAGAGGTTGATGGCATACGTGTAGAAAGTATGAAATTGGAAATGGCAAGCCATCAAAGTAATGTAGCAGAGGAACAACTGTGCACGTTGCTAAAACAGAGTGCTGTGTTTGGCATTAGCTGGGCAGTTGATGTGGGCGAGCCGGAGTACAATAACTGTGAGACTGTGCTGTTGAGAAAAATGGAAGAACTATTAGATGGAGATAGAATGTGTCTTTTGAACCTTGATAGTGCAGTTATTACTGTTATTCAACACGGCAAGTTTTTTGTAGTAGTTGATTGTGGCGTACGTGATGCCGGGTCCGGGTTGGCATCTGTTTATGGCACGCCTGTGGCCGTTTTCAACACATGTATGGCAGACCTGATGTATCACATTAGGGATCTAAAAGAGTCTTTAAACGCTGGGTAGTGGGGTATTCACAGCCTTTCAGTTCAGTACCAAACTGATACTGACATGGAGTGTGCTACTGGGTTTACAGAGAGTGTAGACAAACATTCTGTCAGTTGTGATGGTGACAGTGGCGACAGGAATGTTGCAACTGATGTTGAGGCAGGCAGTTCTGGTAGGCTTGATAACGGTGTAATGGGATCATTTCACCAGGGGGATGAGAGGTTTACATTTGGAGGAGTTCAGTGCATGGCAATGGCGTTGGTAAGTTTAGCAAAACATACCAGAGAGAGTGTCTTCTCATGGCAGACAACAGATCTGGACTCAGTGTTGCTTTCAGGTGACCAGTTGTACACTCGTTTGAGAGAAAGTGACGCGATCAGCAGCACGTCTAGTCTGTTGTGTGTCAATGACTTGCCTAAGCAGGACGAAATCGATGGACATAATTTTCAATTTAGTTATGATGATGACTTTGTGATAGGACATGTAGATGTGGTTTAAGGTTTACTGATTGAAAATCGTACCCTCACCACTCTTTCTAGTGGACTGGAGCAGATATTTTCAAAATACACCACATGTCTTCTGACGTTGTGTGGCAATACGTGTGCAATCATTAAGGGAAATGGACAGTATGCAGTGGTTGACTCGCATGCACGCAATGCTAGTGGCATGGTTGATGGAGATGGAAGGAGTGTTTTGTATTTTGATTCAATGGACGATGTATACGAGCACATTTGTCGTCTGTCAGAGGGGTTTGGCAATCAGCAAAAGCTTTTTGAAATAAGTGGTGTTTGTGTCACTGAGACACCCCTGAACTCTAGTATTGAAGGAGCAGCCAATAATGTCACAGTAGCCAAGTGCAAGATGTCTGTAGGAAGTTGTGCTTCAAAGAAATTGATAACCCATGATGTCACTGGTGTTAATTCAGATGTTGAGTTTGTCAGTGATGTGACAAAACCTGCAGTTTGCTCCTATTTGTAAAGAGGTTGGTCAGGCTTTATGCTTACAGTTAAATGTTGCGTTTAAAAACACTGATGCACCAGTGTCTACAGCTGTTGGTGCGTTAGGCACTCTGTGTAAAAATCACAAAATTGTGGCTGATGGCAACTGTTTCTTTAGAGCAGTCTCCCAAGCTGTGAGTGGCTCAGAAAGGCACCACGGATAAGTGAGGTTTGCTGTTAGGCATTTACAAAGCAATGTAATGACATATAAGAATATATTAAGAGATGCATATTCGTCAGTGGCAGAGTACATAAGTACTTTAAAGATGCATAAGCTTGGTAGTTGGGCAACTGAGGTTGAAATTCAAGCGGCAGCCAATGTTTTAGGTGTCAATATTTTCACATATGTTCAAGACAGATGGTTGCAGGAATAACTGTTTCTCAAACCAGGGGATCTACTTGGAGAACTGCAATAATAACCATTATGAGACAGTTCTGTGTGTCAATCAGCCTCAGTTGCAGAGCTGTTATGGCTTCTGCAAAAGGTTAACTTCTGCAAGCTACAATTTGAGGAAACGTAGTAAAGTGAAAGACGATAGAACACATCAACAACAGCATAGTAACGTGCAGAATGAAACATCCTCCTACTTGAAGAGGAAACAGAAATTACAAAAGAAAATGAAATATCACAACAATGAGTTGCATAGAGAGAAAATGAAGGCATTTAGTAAAAGTAAGTACTGTGAAAATGAATTTCACAAGCAAAATGTAAAAGCCATGAGTACAAAGAAGTATAGAAATCCAGAGCATAAGAAGCTTGTTATAGCAGGTAACAAATTAAGGATGAAAATTCAGAGCAGTTTGATTTTGTGACGGAGCAGTTATTGGAAAAAGTTAAAAATGGGCCAGATTTTGTGTTGTTTGTCATAGATTGTTGTTTAAACATCAGGTTGTACATTGTAAAAGAGATGATTATAAAAACAGTACAGCAATTGCAGATGCATGTATAAGTGAAAAATATTTACACAAATGTAATAAGGATTGCGTAATGCCATGTCAATGGTTGGGTACAGCAAGAGGTCAGCTGTGGATTTGTTGCACTTGTCATTTTAAGATTAATAGAGGTGAAATGCCACCTGAATGTGCAATAAACAATTTGGCAGTTCATCCCATTCTGGCACAGTTGGAGTGTTTGAATAGCTTAGAACAACATTTGATTGCTTTGAATATACCATTTATGAAAATGTTGGCATTACCTAAAGGTGGCCAAAGTAGAGTACATGGACATGGACATGTGTTCCAGCAAATATTGTGCAGACTAACAATTTACTTCCACATTCTGACATGGAAGGATCTTTGTTGGCTGTTAAATTGAAGCGTAAACTAACATGAAAGGGGCATTATGAATATCAATTTGTTAACACTATGCGCATAAAGCAAGCGTTGCAATATTTAAAACAGACAAATGTACATTATAAAGATGTAGAGTTTAATGAAGCTTGGCTAAATGGGTTTAGTAGGGAACAAGATGAAGAGGTTTTAGGAAAGGAGAGTGAAACAAATGTAGAGAGTGGTGAAGCATCTACAGATGTTGGTGAAGATGAGCATTTGCATGATAGGCAGCAACATTGTATGTTTCAGGTCATGTGTCTCATGCCTCTTGACATTGGTCAAGAAGTGCTTGATCAATATGTTGATGATGTTTTGAATGTGGCACCAGCAGAAGGGAGTAATCCTGTGAAATTGCTATCTGATCATGAAAACGAAGCCAAATGCTTCACAGTGTTGTTTCCACAGGGATGGTCCACATACCATGCTAGTAGACAGTATCGCTTGACATTGTCGCGTTGTTTTAATAACAGGATTTTACATGTTGATGGTAGATTTTCACAAAATGTTGAGTACATCTTTTTTGCTCAGTACATGTCTGAGGTTGAAAAAGTTGTGTCAAACGTATCCATAGCATTACGGAAAGGACAAGGAGGTAGTAAAGGTCAAAAGGTTAGCAATGATGTGTTGAACAATGAAGAATCTTTAAAAAAGTTGTTGGAATTTGATAATGGCTATCGTTTTCTTAAACCTATTAGAGGTACCCCATCTTTTTGGCAGGGAGCACAGCGTGACTTGTTGGCTTGTGTTCGTCAGCTTGGTGTCCCTACATGGTTCTGTTCGTTTTCTTCTGCTGATATGCGTTGGAAAAATCTTCTGTATAGTATTTTGAAACGGGAAGGTAGAACGCAGACAGTTAAGGATTTAGAATTTTACATCGCAATCCCGTCACTGCAGCGAGTGTTTGATTTTCGCTGGCATTGTTTTTTGAAGGCGGTACTCATGTCTCCATCTCATCCAATCGGGAAAATAAAGGGCTACTTTTATAGGGTGGAATTCCAGCAACGTGGTTCACCACATGTCCACTGTCTATTTTGGATTGAGAATGCCCCATTAATTGATAAAAAACACAGATGCTGAGGTAATTGAATTTGTTGATAAATATGTAACATGTGAATTACCATCACAAGATGAGCCCTTAAAAGACATTGTGACATCTGTGCAACAGCATTCAAAAACGTGTAAAAAGAATAAAACTGTTTGCCTTTTCGGTTTTCCCAGGCCGGCATCAGCTCGAACATTTACTGTATATGTCGTGAAGATGATGATAAGAAAATGTGCACGTGTAAGGTAGATGACACCAATAGGACGGCACATTGTGAATGCAAGAATGAGGAGCAGGAAAAAACTGAGAAAATGAAGAGAGTATGCATCTAAAATTCTGACAGCAGTTGAGGAGGCTCTTTCAGATGATCATGCTAGTTTTGCTTCTGTGGAAGAGTTGTTCAGACATTTAGGTATTAATCAAACTATCTTTGAGAAGGCATATAAGCGGTTCTGTAGGAAAACACATGTGTTAAAAAGGCAGGCCAATGAGGTTTGGATTAATCAATATAGCAAACCACTGTTAAAATGTTGGAATGCTAATATTGACATACAATATGTTGTTGATGCATGTGTAGTGTACATCACTTCTTATATTTCAAAGTCAGAAAAAGAGATGGGACTATTGTTGGGGAATGCACAAAGGGAAGCAGCTAAGGAAGGAAATGCTAGTGCAAAAGATGCATTGAAGAATTTAGGGCGTGTGTATTTACACAACAGAGATGTGTGTGCTCAAGAGGCTGTATATAGGTTAACAAACATGCATCTGAAGGAATGTTCAAGGAAAGTTGTTTTTGTGCCAGTAGGGGATAATGTTGTTAAAATGAGTTTGCCTTTACGTGTGTTAAAACAAAAGGCAGCATCAGGTAATCTTACCACAGAAGACATGTGGATGCCTAGTGGTGTTGATAGATACAAGAATAGGCCAAACGATGGTAGTTTTAATGACATGCGTATTGTAACATTTGCATCAGAGTATCGTATTCTGTCTAAAAACGAGAAGTCTGCAAATCGGATTAAACTAAACAATGATTTTTGTTTTGAAAAGAACACGTTCACAACCTGCAGTTATGCGTTATGTGCGCTTTTCAGAGACAAAAAACCCTGAACTTTTCTATCAGAGTATTCTGCAATTGCTTATGCTGTATCGTAAAGATGTGCAGCTCAAACCACCAGGTTTTGAGACATAATCAGCAGTTTTACAGTGGTGGTAGTGTGAGATTAGCTGATGGATTGCTACATTTGGTGAAGTCAGTTGTTGATTTAAATAGAAGCAAATTCGAACATGATGCAGATGAGTTGGATACTATCCAAAATGCAGCTGATAATGATAGTGTTTTAGAAGATGCCTGGTGTGAGCTGTGCCCAGAGCAAGAATTGGAGCGTTTAGAGTGCAACCAGCTATGCAGAGATGAGGAACAGGTAGTGGATGAGCAGATAGAAAATATTCCTGATTTAGGAGTGAATAGGGAGCAAGTTGCACATTTAGAAAAGAGAAATAACATCATGTGCAGGAGTGATGGTCTGGCATTAATTCGATCTCTTAATGAGCCACAGATGTGTATTTTCTATGAGATTAGAAATTGGTGTTTACAAAAGGTAATGGGGGGGGGGAGCCAGACCCATTACGTGTTTTCATTACAGGTGGTGCAGGGACAGGTAAAAGCCATTTAATAAAGGCTATTCAGTACGAGGCAATGAGGTTGTTGTCAACAATCTGTCGTCATCCTGGTGACATTTGTGTTTTATTAACTGCTCCTACAGGGATAGCTGCATATAATTTACATGCAGCTACTATTCACAGCACATTTAGCATTGGGAAAGATGTACACTTGCCTTACACGCCGTTGGGTGAAGAAAAGCTTAATTCTCTACGTGCTGAATATAGTAGCTTGCAGATTTTGATCATTGATGAAATCTCCATGGTTGATCATAAACTGTTAGCTTATATCCATGGAAGACTGCAACAGATTAAACAATCTGGTGATTCCCCATTTGGAAATGTTAGTGTGCTTGCTGTTGGAGATTTTTTTCCAGTTGCCTCCAGTGAAGGGCAAACCCTTGTATGTCGAAAATGTTGGTGTAGATTTGTGGTCTAGCCTATTTAAAGTGGTGGAATTAAAAAGTATTGTTCGACAAAAAGATCATGTATTTGCCGAGTTGCTAAACCGACTAAGAATACGTTCAAAAGGGACCCCAATGCAAGACAATGACATTGAGATATTAAAGCGTTGTGAAATGGGTGAAGTTGGCTCAGCTTTACACATATTTCCTACAAATAGGCAAGTAAATGAGCATAATGTTGTGCAGCTTCTTAACATGTGTCCTGAACATGTACAGATAAACGCACAGGACTTTGTAAATAGTAAGAAAACAGGCAAGCTTGAGTTGATGAAAGGACATCATGCCAAAGCATATGATACATGTTTGGCTGAAACGCTGCTTTTGGGCGTAGATGCCCGTGTAATGTTGTGTAAGAATGTAGACCTAATGGATGGTCTGGTTAATGGGGTATGTGGCACCGTAACTCATATAGTGTATGGCAATGACAATAATACGTTTCCTCAAACTGTGTATGTCAAATTTGATGACAAAGAAGTTGGTGCACAGAGGACACGCTGTGGTAATGCGTCAGCAGTTGCAGTGGGTTCTACTGGTATTGAACCAGAAGAGGAAAGGGTAACTAAGAAAGGTGGATTGCGGCGTCAGTTCGCACTTAAACTTGCTTGGGCTTGTACAGTGCATAAAGTGCAAGGCCTTACTGTTGATAGTGCTGTAGTTTGTCTTAAAAAAATATTTTCTGCAGGACAGGCATATGTGGCATTGAGTCGTTTCAGAAGTTTGTCTGGGTTGGTAATTCAAGATTTTGAAGATAAAACCATATATTGTAAGGACAACATTAATGATGCAATTCAGAGTATGGACCCATTCTTGATGAAAAATCCAATGAGCCACATTTTGAATACACATACGTTTACTGTGTTTTTGATGACTGTGCAGAATTTGACTCTGCATTGTGTGTGTACGCATTTGCGGCTTAACTGTATTGCTGTTACAGAAACATGGTTACCTGCTGATTCCTCATATCACTCTGTCAACATCAATGGTTATACATTTGATAGTTCTCCCCGAAGTTCGTCTTACAGCAGCAGCAACCCCGCATTGGTTGATTTGCAAGGCCAACAACATGGTGGTGTTGGCATGTATAGTGCAGACAGTTTGAAATTAAACATGCTGAAAGTACCAGATGTAAATTTAGAATGTTTAGTGTACAACTGTCTGCCTTACAACATACTTACAGCAGTTATTTACAGGCTTTATCCCATGGCTTTGTTTAAAGAATATCTAGGGAAGTTACTTGATTGGCTAGATCCAAGAAGTAACACAATTGCTGTTATGGGAGATTTTAATGATGACATTCGTAAATCATTAACAATCTGCAAATTTATTACAGACAAAGGTTATGTTCAGCTTCTCAAAACACCCACAACAGAGAGAGGCACATTAATTGATCGTGTGTATGTTAAAACACATTATCAAGTAGAATCAATAGTGTTACCAACATACTTTAGTGATCATGAGGGGATTGTATGTTCTTTTCAATGTACAACTGATGATGACTTGTAACAGCTGCAAGTTCAGCTTACTTGGCAACAGAGGTGAAGAGGTTTCTCGTAACCATAATTGGAAGCCACAAGCGGCTGAACTGGGAAAGCTGCAGTCATAAAATTTAGACAGGGGTGTGGTTTAGATAGAAAAAAAAAAAAAAAAAAAAAAAAATCATCAAGGCATAGTTCAAAGATTTGTGTATTTGGATCATGTTTTATTTTATTTTGTGCATGTTTTCTATAGAAATGAGTAGTTGTATGTTGGCTGTGTTCTTTCCCCTCTGCTCTTCTTCCTGTACACAAACAGCTGCACCTCCAGTCACCAGTCCGTCAAGCTCGTGAAGTTCGCGGATGACACCACCCTCATTGGACTCATCTCTGGTGGGGATGAGTCCGCCTACAGGTGGGAGATTGACCATCTGGTGACCTGTTGCGGTTTGAACAACTTAGAGCTCAATGCTCTAAAGACAGTGGAGATGGTTGTGGATTTCAGGAAGAACGTAGCCCCACCTGCCCCTATCACCCTGTGTGACTCCCCCGTCAACGCTGTGGAGTCCTTCCGTTTCCTGGGCTCCATCATAACCCAGGACCTCAAGTGGCTAAGAAGGCCCAGCAGAGGATGTACTTCCTGAGGCAGCTGAAGAATTTCAACCTGCCAAAGACAATGATGGTGCACTTCTACACAGCCATCATTGAGTCCATCCTCTGCTCCTCCATCACAGTCTGGTACGCTGCAGCCACTGCCAAGGACAAGGACAGCCTGCAGCGCATCATTCGCTCTGCCGAGAGGGTGATTGGCTGCAATCTGCCGTCCCTCCAGGACCTGTTCACTTCAAGGACCCTGAAGCGAGCAATAAAGATTGTAGCCGACCCCTCTCACCCTGGACACAAACTATTCATGCCCCTTCCATCTAACAGGAGGCTGAGGTCCATCAGGACCAAGACCTCAAGCCACATGAACAGTTTCTTCTAGTCAGGCTCATTAACAGAGCCCGGGTCACCCACTGACTCTGTCATCCCAAGGACAATTCCTTACCCTCCCTACTACTCCCCTGCACATCACTTCATATTTTAATACACTTGTCACTTTCACATTACATTTGCATTACACTTGTTTAAAGTACTGTTATCTGTTTGTCTGTGCACTTTATTTTAAATTCTTCTCTATTCTATTGTAAATTTGAATGTTTCTATTTCTTGCCCTGTTGATTGTTTAGAATGTTATGCACCATGACAAATTCCTTGTATGTGAAACATACATTGGTAATGAACTGTTCTGATTCTGATGTTTTTTTTTAATGTAATGAATAAAATGCATAGTTCGAAGGTGGGTGTGGTATTGTTTGTGTCGAGTGTCTATTTTACACATGTTTGGAATTTTGTATGTTCTTTAATGTTTTGTTGAATGTAATAAATGGAAATATTCACTCAATAATTGTCTGTTTCATTTGTCAATGTTTTCTAAAAGTATAAGTATAGAGACTAGAAATCATGGGAAAATTCACACAAAAATCAAAATGGCAGACTTCCTGTTCATTTTAGAGCATTATCGCAAGACACTTTTTTTTTTTTTTTAAGTCTTCATGCGATACATGTGCCTACCAAATTTCATACATGTAGGTCAAACGTAGTGCTGGGGCTGCGATTTTGAATATTTGTAGGGGGCGCTATCGAGGCAATTTGAAAGGGTCAAGCCAAAAAGCCATATGAAATATTTATTTCCATCACCTATGACACCTGTGCAAAGTTCCAAGGCTTGTTGAGCATCCTAAGTCACAGAAAAATAAGCTTCATTTTTCATGGCGAATGACGCGTTGCCAGGGCAACAGCGTTTAACGACAACTCACAATATTCATGATGAAGCATTATCAATGTCTTACGGCTTAGCTTACCAAATTTGAGACTGATATGGGCAACTTCCTAGTCGGAGTACATCAAAGTATAAAACTTGTCATTTTCTTTTGCCAGTAGGTGGCGCTATGACTTTGTGAAAATGTTGCCATGGAAATGTGCTCAGGCCTGGACCAGCATCATGCATAACAATTTTTGGGCAGATTGACTAAAGCACCTTGGAGTTACAACAACTTCGTCTTTCATGGCGAACGGCACAAAATGTGCGTGACATGGGCGCCACATAAAACGAAGGTCGTTCAATGTCAGTAGACCATTTTAGTAAATTTTCATCATTGTCTTTAGATCATCTTGACCAAATTTGAAGTTGATCGTATAAATTCTGTGGGAGGAGTTCGTTAAAGTACAAAGCCTGAAAACGATGAAAAATGCCTAAAAATGCAAAGAAATGGGAGTATTACTGCATCGCCCCCTAGTGGTTGTATGGAATGAAAATTTGAGGGCATGTTACAGGACACAATGTGAACATATGCTACAGATTTCGTGAGGATAGGCCACATGGTTTTGAAGTTATATATATTGCTGTAGAAGGCCACGCCCCTATGAAATTCATTGGTCCATATATTCTTAATGCAATAAGATATCAAGAAGATTTTCATAACTTTTGATGATATATATCCAATAATGATTCACAACAAATTTGGTGCCAATCAGACCCAGGGTCTAGGAGAAGTGAATTTTTTTTATTCTTTTACAAAATTCAAAATGGCGGAAAATGTTGGTAGGCGGAGCTTAGGGTCCCAAGAGGATTTTTTGTAGAACTCATTCAGTTGCTCATGACTGTAAAATTTTAAGTCATTTGGACATACGGGCTGTCAGGGCTTGCATTTCCAACTTCTAGGGGGCGCTAGCGAGCAATTTTGTCATGCTCGAGCATGGGACCCATAAAATATCAAATTTTCCCGCAGTCCTGATATGCTTGCCAAATATGGGGATGTTGGGGACATAATAAAGCCCCCAAAATGGCGTTTCATTCGAGAGAAAAAGAATAATAACAATAATTCCTACAGTTTCAATAGGGACCTTGCGGCCCGACGTCGGTGCTCGGGCCCTAATAATAAATGCAAGGTGGTAGGCGCATTGGATAGTAAAGGTGTCTCCAGGCACACCTTATATATTGATTTATGTATGTGAAGCAGCACAACGTGCAAAACTGCTGGGCGAAGGTGATTACTGATCAGCAATTGTGGTTGTGATTCAACACACACAAAATGTAATCTATTGGTTTTGTATACAGGGATACAAATTGTCTGTTTTTTTGTGTCGCTTTTTTTCTGGACGATATTACATTAAAAATGAAAGTTAGGTTTAGGCAACAAAACCATGTAAATAGGTTAAGGAAACGATCACAAACAGCTTGGTGTAGGCAAAAAAACCACGTAAATAGGTTAAGGAAACGATCACAAACAGCTTGATTTCTGCAAAAGAAACAAGAACAGTCAGGTTTAGGTCTTCTGGTTCAAAGTCCTGTTCATTGGGCCCATACACCTCCCCTCCTGCCCACCAATAGTCGTCTTTTTGGATATTATAAAATTCGTCCCTTGCTCTGACTGTTGCTGAGTCACGTGGTTGGATATCTGGTTGTAGATATCTGTATAGTTATACCGTAGCAGCCTGGGGATGTTTTCAGGCAATTTATGAACTTAAACACATTGAACAGACATGCATAACAGCTCTGCACTTCAGTGCAGCACTTGTCAGAGACTGCAGATTCATTAACATACGTGTCCTGCTATCCATTAGATGTTGCGGGTATTTCATGAAATGAAGGAGAAGCTTTTCACACAGTATAAAGCAGCTGTGGACAGCAGGGGAAAGGTGGAGGGTAGCGAAAAGCTTAAGTAATAAAGTTATGAGTAACATAACTAATTACTTCTGATGCCAAGTAATAAATAAAGTATTACTATTACCTTTTAATTTTTTAACTTATTAGTAACTTACCCAACACTATTCAGTCTCGACAAAAAAATAGAAAAACCTTAACTGAAACAGAAACAGTGGAGCATCGAGCACTCTGTTCATACAAGTCGCTGCGGATTTGACAACACATCCACCAAATGATTCTGGGTGTGTCAGAGTGGGATGTATTCACTTTTTTGTAAAAATAGCATGATAATTATTTCCTGGTTGTATCTGACAGAAAGTATGTGACTGGTCCATCATGGACGTGAAAACAACGTCAAGATCTGTCCGTCTACCTCATACCACATAGCAATTTTTAGTTTCAGACTGACACCGGGGCCAGGGAAACATTACCATCCGACCAATGTTTGATAACACTGACCTCATTCAAGCAGCTCCTTGTCATTTCTGACCTCATCACAAATCACGACCACTGCGCAGTTAGCAGACTGAAAGTTCTCACAGATGTGTCCACCCGTGGGTTTTGGAGGGTAATTACAGCCGTGGTCACAGCCACAGCCTCCCTCTTACTCCAGGTTCTTGTCATCTGCATAATTGATCACTGCAACTTGCATGTATGGGGCCAGCATCGGAAACACATTTACTTCCTTTGCTATGGCAACGGCGACGCATGTACATGCCGGTAGCTCCCCATGAATTTCGCTTCATTTTTTTGTCCTATTTAGTTTTTTTGTGTTTATTACTGGAGCGCTAAAAGAAAAGGAAGCGTGGGGATTGGATTAAGAGCAGCGGATTTTGAGACGATCAATGCCGACCAAACAGCCAGACCTGCCTGACCAAACTGCACCAGGGAGGAGAGGGAGGAGAGCTGAGATGGAAGCTAAGCTAACCAAACATATTTAATAAGAGCATTCCTCTTCAAGATTCATGATAAAGCATTACATGGTCATCTGCCACACAAAGTCATCATCACGACCTGTCATGTGACCGCCAGGGAAAATGCTTGCTCCATCTATGTGGCCACATAGACAAAAAACAAATATATAGTAGCCTAAATATTTAATAAAAAGCACAGGAGCGTTGCTTCTCTACTCAATGGTGGTTAGTGGTGATATGTATGTCAACATATTGTTATCATAGAAACATAGAAAAAAGCACTTTGAGCTCTTTTTCGTTGAAACGCTGGGTTGAAACTTTGAACCAGAAGAATGCGCTTTTTGGACACAGGCCCTAAATGTGCCTTGCACAGATTCTCAATTACATATCCATCACTTGTGGTGATATTCTGGCTTCACGGCTACCTTGCTGCTCACTCTTCGCTCATATTTGATCTTTTTTTCCCAGTCCTAGCTGAACTCGGCATTCCATATACGTAATTTTGGTCATTTTAATTCATTC